AAAGATTAAAAGTAATTTAACCATAAGTTCTGGCCTTCTCAGTTCGACTGGATGCTACATCTACTATATATATATATCGACAATATTATGATACAACATGAGTTCTACGGATTATCGCGGAAATTCATCCTGCTCAGGTGATGCCCAAGGAGGCATCCCAGCTCTTCCTGTGTGACAGCTCCTCATGTCATCTCCAAGGGAGAGCCCAGTCACTCAGCATATGAAACTCATTGGGACTACTTGAAATACATGTTTCAAAAGCCAGGTAATGATCAATTCCATTTCAGTTTTATTGTGATCTTTTAAGTACAAAGTTAGGAAAAAAAAAAGTCTTGTGGTTGTTTTAAATTCAGAATAGTAAATATATATATTGACATTCATCATGAGTTATAACTCATAATACTTAATGTTTCTCATTTGAATTCAGTCGTTGTGGACATATGGTTTCTGGATGTTGTTTTGACTGCTGTAGGCTTCATTCAGATACTTCTGGAGCCCTGCAACCTGCTCCTCCTGGAAACACAAAAAAAAATCATGTAATAAATTACTATTGTCGAAGTGAATATAGTCTGCATATAAAAGCCACCCATTGAGTGGAGGGTCTCAAATTAAATTAAATTTTAGGGGGAAACCTCTGGTCTAAATCATGACAGTGCATTTGTCTTACCAATACATTCACTCGTTCAGCTGCTGCCATTGCCACATTGAGCCTCCTCTCATCTTCCTCCCGCTCCTCCTCGATCACACCCAACCTGAAAACAATTGCAATTTTATTTGCATAAAGTTCTGTATTTTCTAACTTTGATAGTGCCAAATCGGCATCCATGAAAAATAAGTAAACAAATATCCAAAACTCATTTACTGCAAAGTACTATAATATCATAAAAAATATCATCAGATATTTAATTAATTCATAAATCAATTATTCCATTTATATAGCACCTTTCAAGATACCCAAAGCACTTTACAGTTCATTATTCATTCACTCAACACTAAGTGTTGATATTTGACTTTCATTTCACAGTAAACCAGCCTATCAGTTTCAATATATCAAATAATTGGATTCAGTGCAATAACCATGCATAACTCATACACACCAACACATTTTTCATAATGTACAGGTAAATTTATATTGGTAATAGGTCAATTTATATTGTTTGCGCACCACTCCAGTATTGTGCAATATTTCAGAATATCCTCTTGCAATATCTGAATCTTACCTGAAGGAGGCACTGGCAAGCTGCTCTTCTGTCACTGCCAAGAGATCGCGCAACTCGCAAACTTCAGCCTGGAGCACTGCGTTTTGTTCTTGCAGCAGTACATTCTGGTCCTGGTTCTGATTGATGAAGTCCTCTAATCGTTTGGCCATGTCCAGCTCTCTCTCTGTCACCTGCTCAATCCCAAGACGCAGCTCTGACAACTCCTGAGCGTGCTGCACATATATAAAACAAACTTATTCTTGATTCTTCAACAGTATAGTTTGACTATTATGTACCTCACTGTGGTTTAGAAACATGCAGATGGTTGCCTGAGTAGAAATAACAGATTACCATCTATTAGAAGTTTAGTTTCTGTAAAAAGTGCACTGTGTGACTTTTCTGGCACCTTTGCCTGGAAATATGGACTATGGTATTATTTATCTTAACCTATAGAGAAAAGTGAGTGACAAACTAGACCAAGTTATAGGTTAGATATGTGAAGGGGCATGGTTTTCAAGGTATTTATTTTGCTGTAAACACGCCTCTTATGTCTAATGCAAGCTAGAATAATAGCCTTGTATTTTGGACAATACCAGGCAAAGCGACTACATTATCATGGAGACTAGCCCCCAATCAGAAAAGATACAGAATGCACTTTTAATTCTTAAAATATATAATATTTTATGTTAGAATAGCATTTAGAGCGATCATTATACTTGACTAGACTATACACATAAACATAATTTCCTCATTGTTATTGTTTATATATCTATATTTAAATCTATATGTTACTATTTATATGAAAGTGCTTCAATAATTCTCTCCTTCACTGTATTGAGCTGAGCCAAATATTAACCACAGTACCCTGTCCAACATGTTGAATTCTTCTGTTTCTGTCTTGATCTCACTCGACTCTCTGTTTTGGTTGACTATGATCCACGGGACTGGCGCAGGTGTCCGCTTGATACTTTCATTCTGTTAAAAATAGAAATATGCTCTTGTCATGGGTTTCAATGTCTAAAAAATACCCCTCCTTGTTCCTCTTAGCACTCACAGTTTGTGGCAAGGTGATGTGTGGTTGGTTAGGCTCTGTTGCCTCCTGGTGGTCATCGGCGGTGGGCAGGTTTTCCGTGCTGGTCTGCCTCTTCATGTACTTTTTGTGTCCCACGGGTCGGTGTGGGGCACTCTGGGTTCGATGGACTGGTTTCCTCTCTTTAAAACTCCTCCGGGTCCTGTTATCGCTTCAGAATAAACACTAAAATTAAAAACTAATACTATAAAGTATATTATAAAGTGAACCATAACCTTAACTTATTAATATATAGTCTGTAAAGGGCCAGAAGGCACATTTGCCTATACATAGTGTCCATCTTACCCATCTCGTGTGCCTTTGGTCTCAAAGGGAAGCTGCTGCATTGATGACTGAAGAGGGCTGTATTTAGCCAAGTCCTTTGGTGGCACATAAGTTGGCTTTATTTGACCTGCTTGGCTACATAATACAATAAATGCATTAGAAAGTGTATTATTTAAATTTATTATAATACATGTACATACATGTATCACACACGTGGTTTAGTTATTTACAATACCACTTATGATCGTAAGATGCCCACCTGCTAACCATGATGCGAGGGGCTTCAGGTCCCAGAGACTCTGTGATCTGGTTGAGGATTGAAGGCAGTGGGTACAGTTTGTCTGTAGTTTCCTGAAGGAAAAAAAAGCTTTTAAGATTGTGTATTTTTGTTTGTATTGAGGTACAAAGTATTCAGTATAGGAACTTTTCATCCTGTTATTAAGGAATATGTATACAATTGAAATCTGTGGCCATACCGGCTTGTCAAAGCTTGAACCCATCAGATTTCAAAAGCTAAGCAAGGCCGGGCCTGGGTAGAACTTGGATCGGAGACAGCTGGGAAAATCAGTTGGCACAGTGGGGCGCCAGTGACAAGCACTGTCATTGTGTCCTTAGACAAGGCACTGCACCCACATTGCCTAGTATGAAAGGTGTGTGTGTGTGAGTGGTGGTTGTCAGAGGGGCTGATGGTGCCAATTGGCATGGCAGCCGCACTTCAGTCAGTCTGCCCCAGGGCAGCTGTGGCTACAATAGTAGCTTACCACCATCGCATAAGGAGTGACTGAATAATGCTCTGTAAAACATCTTTGTGACAAATGTCTGTGAAAAGCGCTATATAAATAAAAACTTACTTACATACTATATCGTATCAGTATTTTAGACTGTTAACTACATACATGGTATTTGGATGTTTTAAAATCTAAATTTGTAGTAATTTTCTTTTTTATTTAGAGAATGGTGTGTTCTGTGTTCTATTGTAAAATGCCGTTTGTGTATTAATATGATCACTATTTTTCATAAAAGAGATTAAATGTTTGCACAAAGTAATGCTGTTTAAAATTATATAAAATGTGCAATATATTGTGATTACAGCAACATGGGATATAAAAATGGTACATAATGTTAGGCATGTATTGTGTTTGGAATTTGTGAGGTACCCATTGATTCCCTGATCAAATTATTTTGTCATCAATACTAGATTGAAAATAGGCATTTTCTGTGTCCCACCTGGTCCTTCTCATAGATGATGTCCACCAGCAGGCCGTGCAGCACGGCCAGGCGAAGGGGCAGGTCCACGTAACCATCAAATGAAGTCATGGGGATTTCAGTGTCTGGGTTAGACACTGTTTGCAAAAAGCCTCTCATACCTTCCCAGTGCTGCTCCAGGAAGTCGTTCATAAACAGCATGTACTCCTCCTTCTCTCCAAATCTACAAAATTGTAAATAAAAACAAATAAAAAAATATATGTTTCATATATAAACAAGGTAGTATTTCATTCAAAAAACAGTTAAATTTATTCTTCCAAAGCCTGAATTTTGCTACTTTTTAAAATTTCAATTAAAACAAACGAACAAAAAAAAAAAAAGATCATTGACAATTTTAAACAAATAGATCTTGATTTGCTAACATTTGATTAATTGCCCAGCACTAATCACTAGTATTAATAACCAGAGTACAGTCATAGTGGTAGTAGTAGCAGAATATAAGAGTGATCTTGCTACGTGGAAACCTAATCTAGTATGTACAGTACATATCTATACTTGCTATACTGTTTTCAAGTTTGATGTAACAATGCATACATTTGACTATAGCTTCTGGCCATTTTGCAAATGTTTACAAAATTGCATGACTTACTGAGTGAAGTTAGCGAGGTTCTGGATGACTTTGGCTGTTAGAGTGAGAGTCCGTAGGGTGCTTGCTTCTGGGTAGGGTTGTGCCAGATTGAACAGAGAGGGGCTGAGGATGGCAGGACAGAGGAACCGCAGGAAAAGAGAGGCAGAGATCAGCCTTTGTCCGATTTCAGGTTTGCCCTGGTCCTCACACAACTCCATCCAGCTCGAGAAGATCTTGTGCAATTCTTCAGGAAAATGTCTAAGGAAAAGTTAAGTGAATATCAGCAATATATATGAGCTGCCTTGACCAGTGAATTTATCCATTGAGATCATTAAGGTTTTGTATTATATCTGTTTTTTTCTATCATATCTTGGAGGGATAACTGTCATAACTATGGAGGGATCAAGTCAGTGAAGCTCTTGTGCTAGTCCCAAGTGTGAATAACCTGTTTTGGTTTCAAATGCAAAGTATCTCATACAGCAAAAATGGGGAAAAAAAAAACTCTCCACAGATCTGCTGACCCAACTTGACCAGTTCTTCTGTTAAACTGCACTGAGACCTTTGACTGACACACAAAGGCAACTGAGGCGCAGTGTAAATGATTATTATTATTATATAGAATATCATGAGTCTTGATTTTACCACAGGTTTTGTTAGACATTATAATAACTGGAATGAAACTGGGGGTGAAGAGTGGGGAAGATAAACAAACTCTTGGATATTACAACCAACCTCATTGGCCATCATTCACTTTTCAATTATAAGGTCATTATTGGCTATAGGTACATTGTAATACTTATTTCTGTACAGGGTCGGTCATGTTATATTTTCTTACCCATGAGTACCAATGATCTTCTGCACCACCTCCTCACATGTGT